TGAGATTGGCTCAGGGCAAAGTTCAGAGATATAGCACATAAGATCTCTATGAATCACAGGGGACTCAATGGCACATAATAGGAACAACAAATATACATATACATATACATATACTTATACATATACATATACATTTGTTGTTCCTGTTATGTGCCATCGAGTCCCCTGTGACTCATAGTGACCATGTGTACAACAGCCCTAAACCCTGCTCTATCCCGTGACAATCTCATTGTCTCCGACACACCTAACCCCATTACCCCAGTCACTGAATCAATCCATCTTTCTCTCCTGCACTGTCTCTCCACCCCTGCAAGCATGACCCTCCAAGGACTGATTCCACCTTGCAACATGTCCAAAGTATGTCAAATGAAGCTTCAGAATTCTTGCCTCAAGGAGCAGCTTGGTTTCACCTTCTCCCACATGAACTTGTTTCTTCTCCTAGCAGTCCATGGTGTATTCAGTACTCTTCTCCAGCACCACAGCTCAAAGGCATCAATTCTCCTTCTATTATCCCTAGTCATTGTCCAGCTCCCTGACGCATAGCAAGTAATTGCAAAGACCATGGCCTGTATCAGGCTCATCTTAGTCTCCAGACTGACATCTTTGCTCTTTAGTACTTTGGAGAGATCTCTGACAGCAGAATTTCCCAACGCAATTTGTCTTTTAATTTCCTCACTGCTGGTACCAAGAGTGTTGATCGTAGAACCAAGCAAACTGAAGCTGTTAACAATCTTAATCTCTTCACCATCTATCATGATGCTGCCAATTGGTGCAGTGGTGAGAATATTTTTTCCCCCTGTTGAACTTCAACCCATATTGAAGGCTGCAGTCCTTGAGCTTCTGCAGCAAGCACTTCATGTCCTCCTCAGTTTCAGCAAGCAGGGCTGTGTCATCTGCATAAAGCAGATTGTTGATGAATCTGCTTCCAATCCTCATGCCATGTTTCTCCTCATAGAGCCCAGCCTCCTGAATAATCTGTTCCATAGGTAGATTGAAAACATACGGAGATAGACACATCCCTGTCATACATCCTTCTAAATTTTGAACCATGCAGTGTTTCCTTGTTCTGTTCTGATGACTGCCTCCTGGTCCAAGTATAGGTTTTGCATAAGCACCATCAAGTATTCTGGCATTCCCTTTCTTCTCAGAGTCAGCCACAGTTTGTTGTGACCTACATAATCAAATGCCTTTGCATAGTCAATGAAATACAGTTAGACATTCCTCTGCTATGCTCTGCTTTCAGCCAAGATCCATCTGACATTAGCATCAATATTCCTAGTATCATGGCCTCTTCTAAGCCAGCCTGCACTTCAGGCAGTTCTCTGCTGATGTGCTGTTCCAGTCGTTTTTGGATAATCTTCAGCAGAATCTTACTTGCATGATATCTGTTGATGTGCTGTTCTAGTCGTTTTTGGATAATCTTCAGCAGAATCTTACTTGCATGATATCAATGAAATTGTTCAATAATTTCCACACTCTGTCAGATCACCCTTCTTTGGAATGGGAACAGATATAGATCTCTTCCAGTCAGGCAGCCAGGTAGTTGTTCTCCAGATTTTTTGGCACAATTTGGTGAGCACATATTGTTGAAATATGTCAATCAGTATGCCATTGATTCCTATGGCCTTGTTTTTGCCAACTCTTTCAGAGAAGTTTGAACTTCTTCCTTTACCACCACAGGCTCTTGCTCATACGTTGTTTCATGAAATTCTTTTGTGTCCGCCAATTCCTTTTGGTACACTGACTCTGTATACTCGTTCCATCTTCTTTGAATGCTTCCTGTATCGTTCAATATTCTGCCCAAAGCATCCTTAAGTATTGAATCTTGAGGTTTGAATTTGTTCTTCAGTTCTTTCAGCTTAAGAAATGCTAAGTGAGTTAGGCCCTTTTGATTTTCTGACTTCAGCTACTTGCACATTTCATTGTAATACTTTACTTTGTCTTCCTGCGCTGCCCTTTGGAATCTTCTGCTCAACTCCTGAAAATCTTGATTTCTTCCCTTTGCTTTGGCTTCTTGGTGCTCTAGTGTAATATTCAGAATTTCTTCTGACATCATCTTGGTATTTTCTTCCTCCTCTGTCTTTGTAATCACCTTTTGCATTCTTCCTGGATGATATTCTTGATATCCTTCTACATTAATGTCCAAAGCCTCAAACCTGTCCCTGCGATGGTTTTGAAATTCAGATGGAATAGACTCAAGGTCATATTTTGGTTCCTGTGGGCTCAATTTACTTTTCCTCAGCTTCAGCTTGAACTTGCATATGAGTAGTTAGTTGTCTGTTCCACAATCAGCACCTAGCCTAGTTTTCACAGCTGACACAGAGCTTCTCCAGCCATTCTTTCCATGGATGTAATCTATCTGATAGATAGAGAGATAGCTAGAGATACATATAGAGATAGAAATAGAGATAGAAATATAGGTATAGATTCACACACACACACACACACACACGCGCGCGCGCGCGCGCGTGCGCGCACGAAGGTGGAGGGTCAGTAAAGGAGAGGAATACCATCTTCAAGATGATTGACACACTAACTGTACCAAAAGTCAAGGGCATACCATAGATAGTGACGATGGCAGAGGATAGGGCAGAGTTCAGTTCTATGTTTCATAAGGCTGCTGTGTCTTGTGGTCAGCTTGGTGGCACCTGATAAAATTTTTTTTCTCTCAATGATATTGTGGTTATTCAGCATATACATAAAAATTATTAATTTCCAAACTATAGCAAACTATCATGAAAATGAGACCAATATAGCCAATATTTTCCCCATCCTCATGTCTCTCTTAACTTCTTTCACAAACTAAAGACAAATCTCACTGCTGTCAAGTTGATCCTAACACATGGCAATGCCCCCAAAGACTTCTGAGTCTGTAAATCTTAACAGATGGATTCTGCTTTGTCTTTGTCTTGTAGAGTGACAGGTAGATTTGAACTACTGACCTTTGAGTTAGTAGTCTTTCATGGAATGCACTACACCACTAATGCTCTGTCAACCACTCCCAACACCTTCAAGTCAGTTTTCATATCTTTTAGAATATTTCAAGATTTTGGGTTATATGTTTCTTGTAGAGTATAGCATAGCTTCTGTACCTCCTAAACCCAGAATGCAGGCATGATGAAGGAGACGTAGGTATACTTTGTTCACCCTCTTAAGCCAGGGATGGAAGTGATGCAGTGTAATTGTATCTGGCACAAAACATGGGCCTGTATTTCATCACATTGTTAAGGCCAGCAGGCAGTCTTTTCAATTATGGGAACATATAGCCTTCAGATGTTGAAAGGTTATGCAGCTCAGAGTGAAGATCTAAAGAGCTTAGATCTTGCATAAATATATAATTTAATATCATTTAAGAATGACCTTCAATGAAAATACAATTTTCAAATATGCAGAACTTAAAAAGCACTGTTTAACCTAGTCTCTGATTATAGGGCAACTTTTATCAGGGCTAACACGTTTGATCCAGCTAGTGGACCTTTGATCCATTGCCCATGAAATAGCAGCCAGCAAATCACAAGGAGTATTGAATTGAGCCAATTTACCACAAGAGATCTCTTTAATGTATTAAAAAGGTAAGACATCACTTTGATGACTAAGGTGCACCTGGACCAGGGGTGATATTTTCCATCTGTCCCATATGCATGCTAAAGCTGGGAAGAGAATAAAGAAGACCAGAGAAGAATTGATGTCTTTGAATTAACGTTGTTGAAGAGTATTGACTGTACCATAAGACGACCAACAGAATGATTGAATCTGTCTTGAAAGAAAGACAACCAAATGCTCCATAGAAGGGTGGATGGGTAGACGGTTTCTGCATTTCAAACACATTATCAAGGGAAACAGAGCCTTAGTGAAGAGCATCTATCCTTACTAAAGAACAGGGTTAGTGAAAATGATGCAAACCCTTGACGAGATGGATTGACATGGATAATGCATCAGTGGGCTCAAGGATACTTACTATTGAAAGGATGCTCAATGCCTTGTTCTGGTTTACTGTGAGTTAGAACCTACTGGATGCCACCTAACAACAAGGTGTTTGGATATGGAGTTGTTGTTGTTTGGTGCCGTGAAGTCTAGTACAAACTCAACAACTGGCCTCAACCCTGTCTTATTCTGTGCCATCCTTATTATCTCTGACACACTCAAGCCCATTGATGCTGCTACCATGTCATTTCATCTGGTTGAGGCTCTTCCTCTCCTTTTACCATCCCTCCACCTTTCTATGCATGATGTATGTCCCTCTACAAGGAACAATCTCTCTTAGTAACATGTGTAAAATATGTGAGACGACACTTCATTGTCTTTGCCTTCAAGGAGCTCTCTGACTGCACCTTCTCCAAGATTGAATATGGAGGGGATAGGGTTATTGACATAGGGGAAAATAAGAAATTGACTATAAAAGTTTACTGAAGTAATGAAGACTCCATACAGGGATTGTATACCAATGAAAGAATTTTTCTTTTACTTTTCAAAGAGAAGAGTGAACTGGAGGAGGGGACGGGTGGGCAGGGAGGAAAATGCAACAATGAATGAATAGAAATCCAAAGTGTTTGTAAACATTAAAAAAAAAGTATACTGATGTGCCTCAGCCAATTTGAAATTTCTGTTAATTATAATTCTACTCTTAAGAGAGCTCTGCTGGTGTGTAAAAAGTTGTTGCAAATCCAAGGGCAGGCAATTTGAATCCACCAGCGGCTCCATGGGAGAAAGATATGCAGTTTCCGCCCATGCTGTTTATAACTTCTGCACTAGAGGGGGAGCCAGGAGTAGGTTCCCACTGTACAACACATAACAACAGCGCATTACACCAGAGATTTTAAAGGTTATGCATGTTGTGAAAGAGAATTTAGTTATCTCAAGCTTTGTGCAAGAATTAAGGAAAATTAAGGGTTTTACTATTCCCTGTCAATTCAAAGTTTCTCAAAAATGTTTTTATATATCATTTACTATGTATTAGGGAATATTTCCTAGATTTTTCTGTTGGCTTTTTTGTTTAACAGAGAACAGTTGAGAGCTATGTGGATAAACGCATGGGTACGACATATGGCCCACCAGCAGGAAAAAAGATGACTATTTTTATTGATGATGTGAATATGCCAATAATCAATGAATGGGGAGACCAGGTATGTTCATTTTATTATCTTTTATTTTATTTAATTCAGGATTGATTTATTCTTCGATGAAAGATTTTGGTGGAATTGTTGTTATTGTTGTTATGTGCCGACAAGTTGCCTGCGACTCATAGTGACCCTGTGTACAACAGCTCTGAAGCCTGCCCTGTCCTGAGGTGGTCTCACTGACTCCAACATACCTACCCTCATTGCCCTAGTTACTGTATCAATCCATCTCACCTGGGGTCTTCCTCTTCCTCTCCTGCACTGTCCCTCCATTCTTCCAAGCATGACATCCTTCTTCAAGAGCCAATCCGTTCTGGCGACATACTCAAAGTATGTGAGACAGAGCTTCAAAATCCTAAAAATAATGTATTCAAACTTTGTAAATAAATCAAAGTAATATAAAAAACTTTATTTGTTATAATAGCATTAGTCAAATCTTTATGAGATTACTATATCCACTTTTCCCCCCACATCTTACAAGAGGTTCAAAAAAATGAGGAGTCGAGAAATGTCATGAAAGTAATAAAATAATTGTAAATAAAAAACTTAAAGAGAATGATAAAAAGAAAATTCTAACCTCCAAGGAGAACCTTGGTTTCACTCTCTCCAAGACAGAACTATTTGTTATCTTGGTGGGCCATTGGGTGGAATATGTTCCCTAAAAATGTATGTTAGAATTCTAACCCCTATTGGAAGTAGTATTTTCTTTTGTTGTAGCAATAAAGTCATATTAATATAAGGTATGCCATAAACATAATCACTTCCGAGTTATAAAAAGAATTTATTAGACACAGAAGTAAATATATACTGAGGAAGATGGATGCAATCAAGGAACATCTGGGCTACTTAGAAGAATATAATTCACTTGGAATTTTAAAATAGTGACTTGGACTTTTAGTCTTTAGAACTGTGAAAAATAAACTTACTCTCTTTCAAGCTATATACTTGGAGCATTTCTGTTAAGGCTGCAGTCTAGGAGTCTAGACAGTTAAAGAAATTGCACTGAGAAAATGTGCTGTCTGAGATCTCTCCAAATTACTGAGGAGTAATGATGTTACTTTGAGGACTAAGGTGTGCCTGAGCCAGACCATCATCTTTTCAATCACTTACCATGCACTTCAGGGTTGCATAAGGAACACAGATGACAGAAGAATTGATGTCTTTGAGTTGTGGTGTTTGGAGAGAGTCCTGAATATCCCATGGGTTAACACACAAAAAAATCCAACAAAATAACACACAAAAAACACACAAAGAGCTTTTAGGGGTTTGGTTTTTTTAAATATTTTTATTTTTTGTTATTATTTTTGGTGTGTGTACTGTCAAATCGGATCTGACTGGTACAGGAGGAGGTTGTCCCTCCTTCTCCAGCAGAGGATCTGGTGGTTTCCAACTGCACACCTCTGGGATTGCAGTGCAGCTTCTTGCCACTAGGGCACCAGAGCTCCCTAGGGTTTTATTGAAGTATATCCAGAGTGCTTCTTAGAGACAAGATTAGCAAAACTTTGTCCTCTGTATTTTGAGCATGTTGTTAGGAGGGGCTTGGATAGCCCCTTAAGGAGATATCCCTTTGAAAGGGGCATCTGCTTAAAAAAGGAGCAGGGGCAGTGGAAGAGGGAAATCCTCAGTGAGGTAGATGGACAAGTGACTGCAGCAATGGGTTCAAGTGTGTTAGAGATGATGAGGACGGCATCGCATAGGACAGAGTTCACACCTGTTGTTTATAAGGTCTCTGTGAGTTCTACTCAACTCTATGACAGCTAAACAACAACTAGGAAACTGAGACGGAATTTTCCTGCTTTAGGAACAATCAATTTAGGAACTTCAATGAAGTCTATTATTTGGTCCCTTCAAGGTGTTGCCTTGTGGGAATGTGAATGCATGATGTTCAATTCTGAAGATTGTCTTTCACAGGTCACTAATGAGATTGTACGGCAGCTGATGGAACAGAATGGATTTTACAACCTTGAGAAGCCTGGGGAGTTTACTAGTATAGTGGATATCCAGTTTTTGGCTGCCATGATCCATCCTGGGGGTGGACGCAATGACATACCAGAAAGACTGAAGAGACAGTTCTCTATATTTAACTGCACGCTGCCCTCTGATGCTTCCATGGATAAGATCTTTGGTAAAATGGGTGTGGAATGGGTGGTTCGGGAATATGGGGAGGGAAAAAAGCTTTCTTGGGCTCTTATGAGCAAAGATCATGTACAGACCACACGGAAGGGAATTTGAATAGTTTTCAGTTGGTATCCTCCCACTCAGAATTTCCAACAACTTTAGGAGTAAAAGTGTTACTATCAAGTAGTATAGAGACTTGTGGTGGCCTAGTGGTAAGGAGCAGTGCCACCAGCCCAAAGGTGTACAGTTCGTATCCACCAGCTGCTTTGTGGGAGAGATGGGCAATCTCTTCTCATGATTTATTGCCTCAGAAAACCCACTGGTGGATTAGCTAGGAGTCAATTCCAACAATACCAATCAGGTAGGATATTTAATTTCATGAAAAGATTTACTATATATTTATACTTAATTGGACTTCTATGTATATCTTTTTCAACCGACTTTTATCTCTTTATTTAACTATTGTCAACTTCTTCAGCAAGGAGGTTAAACATTAATTAAATTCAGAGATGAAGCTTTATTCTCAAGGGCACATTGGTTTAATATCAGAAAAAGTGTGTGTTGGGATTATATAATTTTACTATACTTATTTAATATGTATGCAGAGCAAGTAATTTGAGAAGCTAGACTATATAACAGTTTTAATTTGCTTGGTTCCACAATCAACACTCTTGGTACCAACAGCCAGGAAATTAAAAGACAAATTGCATTGGGAAAGTCTGCTGTCAGAGACCTCTCCAAAGTATGGAAGAGCAACAAAGTCAGTATGAAAACTAAGGTGCACCTAATTCAGGCCATGGTCTTTGCAGTTACTTACTAGGCATCAGAAAGCTGAACAATGACTAAGGAAGACAATTGATACCTTTGAGCTTTTGTGCTGGAGAAGAGTACTGAATATACTATGGACTGCTAGAAAACAAACAGGTTTGTCCTGAAGAGGGTGAGACCAGGCCGCTCCTTGGAGGCAAGGATTCTGAAACTTCGTCTGACATACTTTGGACATTTTACAAGGCAGGACCAGTCCTTGGAGAGAGACATCGTGTTTGGGAGGGTGGAGGGACAGTGCAAGAGAGGAAGTCCCTCAATGAGATGAATTGGTTCAGTGACTGAGGTAATGGGGGTAGGTGTGTTATAGAGCATGTTTTAGGGCTGTTGTACATAGGATCTCTATGAGTCACAGGTGACTCGGCACATAACAACAGACTATGTAAAGAAGAATGTGGAATCAGGATTGAAAGAAGACTCACCAACTACTTATAGATGACACAACCTTGATTGCAGAAAGTGAAGGCTTGAAGCCCATGCTGAAGAAGACCAAAGACTATATAACCTTCAATATTAATTACACATCAACAGCACAAGACAAAGACAATTGAACCCATAGGTAACATTGTGATAGTTGGAGAAACGATTGAAGTTTTCACTGTTTACATTTCACTGGGCTCAACAGTGAACACCCAATTGAAGCAGCAGTGAAGAAATAAAAAGACGAGTTGCATTGGACAAATCTGCTGTCAAGAATCATAAAGGTTACCACGTGGAAACACTGGAATAGTTTTACTATGTTCTGTAAGGTCCTTATGAGTTTGAATTGACTTGATGGTAGTGACTTTACTCTGGTTTGATTGAATATATTAGTATCAAGAGCTCATGTGACTCAATGGGTAATCCCAGCTGCTAACTGAAAACTTGGAAGTAAACCCACCAGCTTCTCTGCTTTCAAAAGATGTGGGAGCCTGCTTTGTTAGTGAGCACAATTTAGAAAACACTGTAGGTAGCTCTACCCTCTGCCACAGGGCTGCTATAGTCAGGATCAGTGACAGAAATAAAAAAATTTCTTGCTAATATATTATCAATTGGTTAAATATCTAGTATAACAATTGTATTAAAATATCAGCCAAAAAGATATTTATTAAAATGGGTACCTAAATTAAAGTAAATAAATTAACCTTGTTGTTCAACTCGGTAATGCAAATGCATTTATAACTGACTTTGCAATTACCCCCTTGCAGAAAAGAGTGGGCAAGTTTTGTATACATTCGTGCTAGGCATTAATTTACTATTTCTGTAACTCTTATACAGGAAAACCTCATTAAAATTATCCTAATTAATTTCTGGCAGACTAAAATGTCATCTTAGTGCCTGAGGTTAGTGGAGTATGAGAATATCTGCCTTCAATCACAGTAGTAAGAAAGGTTCAGAAATCAAATGACATTTGAGGAGTATCTGAACTTGGGAAAAGTAAAATGGACCAGAAAGAGTGACTGTTACTGATTTTAATTATTCTTGATTGCCTGGAAATTTTTACATAAAAAGTAAATTAAATTGTTTTATAATGCATGAAAGGGCAACAACATAATGAAGAAATCTTTACAAAGTCAAAACCCCCCTTTTTCCCCTTACTTATTTTAAGGCAATTGTGTATGTTTATCATCATTATCCACTTAATAATATTGAATTAGTCCAACTAGACTTTTCAGGATTTTCTGGGTGGGGCAGATGGGGAGCCCTCACTACTAATGAGCCCATGTTAAAGTACCTGGGTATCTGCTTTCAACAACTTATATCCTGGAAAGCCTTAGAGGGAAGTTCTATTCTGCACATTTGGGCCACTGGGAGTTGGAAGTGACTGAATGATAGTTAACACACCTGCCACCGCCAATTCCACCTCCCCCTACCATAGTCACCACTGTCATCACCATCATCGCCACCACTGCCACCGCCATCACCATCACTTCCAACTCCACCTCCACCCAACATCATCACCACCATCATCACCATCATCACCACCACTGTCACTGCCATCACCATCACCATTACCATCACTTCCAACTCCACCTCTGCCCAACATCATCACCACCATCATCACCATCATCACCACCACTGCCGTTGCCATCACCATCACCATTACCATTACCACCACCTCTCCCTTTCCCCACCATTGCCACTACTATCACCACCACCATCACTGCCAATTCTACCTCCACCCAATATCATCACCACTGTCATCACCATCATCACCACCACTGCCACCACCACCATCACCATCACCATCACCATCACCATCACCATCACCATCATCACCGATTCCACCTCCCCCTACCATAGTCACCACTGTCACCATCCTCACCACCATCACCATCACCATCATCACCGATTCCACCTCCCCCTACCATAGTCACCACTGTCACCATCCTCACCACCACTGCCACCACCATCACCATTACCATTACCACCATCTCTCCCTCTCCCCACTATTGCCACTACTATCACCACCACCATCACTGCCAATTCCACCTCCACCCAACATCATCACCACTGTCATCACCATCATCACCACCACTGCCACCACCACCATTGCCATCACCATCATCACTAATTTCACCTCCCTCCTCATCACCACCATCATCACCACCACTGCTGCCACTGCCATCGCCATCACTATCCCAACCAATTCCACCTCCCTCCTCATTACCATCACCAGCACCACCATTCGCACTACCACTGCCACCACCATCGCATCATCATCACTTCTACTTCCCCCCACCATCGTCACTACCATCACCACCACCATCACCATTACCAATACCATCACTCTCACCATTACTACCACCTCCCCAATCATCACCATCATCACTACCACCGCCATCACTATTACCATCAACTCCACTTAACTCCCCATTGTCACTACCACCACCACCACCACCACCATCACCACCAATTCCACCTGCCCTACTATCATCACCATCATCTTTACCACCACCACTGCTGTTACCATCACTGTCACCTCCACCTCCCCACCAGCATCTCTATCATCACCACCATCGTCACCATTACCAGTACCATCACTATTACCATCACCACCACCTCATCCCATTACCACCAATCATCACTGCCACCGCCACTGCCATCACCATCATCATTACCTCCACCTCTCCCCATCATTGTCACCACCATCACCACCATCACCACTGCCACTTCCCCCATCATCACTACCACCACAACCACCACCACCATCTTCACCTTCTCTCCCTCTCCACTACCACAACCACAACCACCTACACCACTACCATCACCATTACCACCACCATGACAACCTCCATCACCATCACCATTACCATCCCCTCTCCCTCCTCCCACCATCATCACTACCACCACCACCCCC